TAATCTACGTAGTTTGATTTGGCTGTGTCCACTTTGAAATCGACGCAGTCATCCGAATTTACAATTCTAACGAAGTGGTTTGTTTGATCACAACTAGTATATTCTCTGCGTTCATGTTGACTTTCACTGGCGTGTGTAACATTAAGCCCCGAATCTGGAAGCACAGAATCATTTGTTTATTTTGTCATGTTCTATCGCATGAAGGTTAAAGTCTAACTTAGGATTTGATGATGACAACTAGGATTTCTGAACCACAGCCTTTAAATTAAAACGCCAGAAAGCCAGTACTTTAACGCAGCATGAAGTCTCATTTGATTATGGTATCAATTACCACACTGCCTAGTTGTGTTCAATTCAAGCGAAAATGAAATTGAAAACCTGTGTTCGTCGTTACTCCTAGTGCGCTAAGGTCTACTTTAGCGTCTATAGCAGATTTTCACCAGCATATAAACAATTAGTCCGATTTGTTATGAGTGGGTGGGCCAAAATTACGACAGGTGATTGTTACATGGAAAAAAGTGGCCGTTTACCTACGACTTTTTGCAAGTGCCGTGTATCTCATGGGTATGAGCTTAAGCTGAGTGTGCGTCTTTAAATGAAATGGAGCAATGTATTCCAAAATGGTTCACTCTTGCGCAATTTTTATAATATTACACTGTTGAAACAAAAAATCTAAAGCAAATCATTCCATCAGTCATATTACAAGTAATGGAACCAATTACTTACTCCGTCTGCTTTTCAAAGAGCTTTTACCAATGTCACATTTGGGTACATCAGTTCAGTATTGTACTGGTTAATTTACAAAGAATAAAGCACCTAAATTTCATACATTTAAAAGGTCATCGTACTTACAAATCACTCCTTTTTATTTACTTCGATTTATTACCATAAAGGTTTCAGATCTTAAACTTGCGTCAGGGCTAAAATGGATTTTATGAAAGAAAGATTAACATGATTATTCATTGAATGCAGCTACATTTGCACAAGACAAATTGTGACATTCCAAATGCCATGTCAATCGAATTGATTCAAGAAAACAAATATTTTGCTTATTTTTCATTGCTAAACGTAAGTTGGGACTATCTCAAACTGTTGAATGGCTCGTGAGCCTGAAAAGCCAATTTAGACCCTCTTGGGTCTTCAATTGCAAGATCGATTTTAAACTCAAAGCAAGCAGAACCCCCAATCGCTGAGAGGACTGGAAACTGGCCAAACGATTTGCCACGGTGACGCAGATCAAAGATCACCTCACACGACCTTGATCTGTGGAGGCGTGCAGACGGCACCATTCGAATACGCGTAAACCATGACTATTGTGTATGTAAACAGTGTCTCCACTGTGGAGATATTCGCTGGCCTCTTACCTCACTGGCAGTTCTGATTTTCAATCACACTGCGCTGTTCATTAAAACGGTAAGTATCTGCAGTTTTACAATATTCATGGTTTTGTTTTTTGGTATATTTAATATCACACTAGGTTATGCGAACCGTGCAATATCACTTTTAGGTCATAAAAACGGTTTACATTTGGCAGCTTGACATTGCGCATAGAGATAAATTCATTTCAATAGACTACCCTGACTGGATCATATTCGAAAAATCCGAAAACACCCATCTCCTCTAATTTTCAAATTGATTTTGCATTTATTTGTAATAAGGACATAGGAAAAACCAGTTGAATAAAACATGAAAGTTTAATTTAGGGAGCTTAGCCATCTTCGCAGTGAAAATTCACTGTTAGTTCCAATGTTAAAAACAGCACATTAAATAACAGGAGAAGCCAGCAAGGGTGTAAAAGATAGGAAATTCCCTGCTGCATTCAAATGACTAAATAAATGTTAACTATGGACATCTTAACGAGTCAACTGGTATGCAAATTTGTATTTTTCAAGAAATTGTGACATACGCCTAATTTGCAGCATGTGTAAGTGTTTTCGCTGCTTTGTGCATTTATCAAAAGGAGTGCATAAAACTGAAATTCAAAAGGGGCAATAAAGGTAACAAAAACAGGGAGGCAGGAAATTGAATTTTAGCTTCTCTGTGTAAAGTTGAGCAGTATCCTTAATTCTTTTCAAGAACAGCAATGTAGGCAAACGTATTTTACTTGTCTTATTTGCAGTATCTAGAGAAAATCCAAGCAACCACAATGCATTTCCGAGATATCCAAGATTTCACTTGACAGAACTTTAATTGACCATTTCTTAACAAAATTTTTCGATTTTTGTAATTTTTGGACATTTAATACTACGAGCAGATCCATTCTTTTACCTTTAAACAAATGAAATTGTCACGACGACATAATTTATATTCTTCATAGATGTTTAAAAACTAGCAAAGCTGCATTTTGTTCCGTTAATTATTCTTTGCGGCATTTAAAGGTTTTCTCCACAGGAACACTAGAACATGTTAAGAATGGCGCAATAATGGAACAACAGGAAGAATTAAGATGAGACAAATAACGTTTTTTTAATAAGAGAAACTAAATCATTGCAGAAGACATATGCTGCTTTACTAAATAGTTTAAAGGTAAATTTTTAACCAAAATTTGCTGAAGGAAAATGCATGAGAGTTATGCTATTCCGTTAAATGCAGAGGAGCTACTCACGTCCACCTTTCGCTCAAAATAAGTGCCTAATTTAAAGAGCCTACTCTGCAATATTTTGCCACATCCAAAACAGGGTTAGGGTTGACAAATGCTGATATTTGTCCATTTGTTAGTAGTACACTTGTGGCAAAACCGGTAACGACTCAGTCCATTCATTCTAATATTTGACAACACTTGTGTTCCTGCTCCGATAGTAAGAATGCTTGATTCTGGTCAACCTTAATTCAGACTCGTAACCAAGCGCAAATTGTGTATCGATACTTTTTATCACAGGATATTTCACTGATATCAGTTTGTAAATTTTACTCAAAGATCATCAACTGGGTACTTCGTTGTCCCTTTTGGCAATCTGTTCTTATTGCGTCAATAAAGCCAATGCGATATGGTAATAAAATTGAAAGAAATTCTAGTAATGATGGCATGAACTTATTTGGATATTGAAATAACCATCGGTACGGTCATGCAGTTAAATAAACTTACCGTGGGTTAGTCACGTCTAAACTAAACAAACCCAAAATCTGGACTACAGCGAAAATCACCTGCTACAGGGCACTGTCATGCAAGCCAATGGAATGTGCAAGCATTTGGGCACTTTCTAAAAGGCAAAAATGACCATTACATGATGGTGACCAGAAGATAATCCGATGTATACACTGAAATCCTAATACGCATCAGTCAAGATCTAAGGAATTTGGTTGGGTATTAAAACGCAATGAAAGTAGAGCTCCCCAATTTTAGCAGTACGAAGTTCAACCTTTAACAGTGTATTGTAGTGAATCGTGTTGATTCACGTCCAATAACCCGGTCATTGCAGCCTCACACACACGTCTCCTTTATACGGCGTGCCCGTCAGTCACTGGGACAGTCTGCTCACTCACCCCTCGGTATGTACCACCACCACCCGCTCAGTACCCTCAGACGTCTGTATTTTTACTAGTCCACTCAACCGTATCAGTCAGCACTACGTCTAACACACACAAACAAACCCAACTTGGTCGAGCTATTTAGCAAACGGTCGTGTCTGATGTCTGTTTTTACTTTTTCCTTAGCATAGGCCCCCAACAGCAGTTTTATAGTGCTTTTGAGCGTCACTTCACCTCATATTAAGAACAAAATATCCCCTAGCTGCACATAAAACCTGAACAAAGCATTCTGATAATAATGACTTATCAGTGAGATTTAATATTTAGTAAAAACGCACTAAACGATAACCTCCGTGGTCGTCTTCTGAGGCAATGATCGTTTTGCTGAGCACAACAGCAATCTTTTTTATGCGATGTCTCAATAGTTTTTACTTAGGTACACCTCAAAGTGATACTTATGAAATTTTACCATGCTAGAAACAGACTCAAGATCTGCTTGTGATTTCCAGCCTTCTTGAGTGCTAAAATATGTGATTTTTCATTCATCGCATTTGTCCTAAATCACCTGTGGTACAAATTATAGCGCGTGTGCTTTTACCATGCATGATCAGTATTATTTGGGAAGCATTTTTGTGGGTTAGAGAGAAAGGTGTCGGTCATCGAAATTGAAAGAAAGGCGATTTTAGCAACCATTGCAAGTGCTTTTCATCACTATACAGAAATTTTATCAGTTTTACACTCCTAGCTGAAAGTACAAACAAACAGCATTTCATTTTGCCTGTTGCTTCCATTTTTGAATCGCATTTGGCCAAATGTAAATTTAACTTTTTTTGGCACAGCTATAGCCTTGGAACTCTTTGTTTCCTAAAAATATCGTTCTGTTGTTATGGCTTGTAACTTTACGAATGCCAAACCTTTCTGACTGACAAAATCCGAGATCAAATGAAGTTGGATTGGGATTAAATATTTTTGCACACATTTCGGGAAACCCAAAAGCATAATTTACATTGAGGGTTTTGCGCCCAGTGAGAAAAATCAGCGTTTCGAGTTCTACATGACTCAGAGTAAAATCATTGAGAGGAACAAAACAACATCTGCAAAAGACATCTAAGAAAGAAGGAATTCGACATTTTCATAAGCTGACATAACTTTGAGCATGACAAACACCGGGGGCCACATTAATAAGTGAGATACATTAAAAACCACCGTGTTGTTAATTTGACGGGATTACAGTTCTATTAGTCGATATCGTTATACAATTGCAAAATTGTGCAGCAAAGTTGGTGAAAATCGATAAAACGGGTTGTTAGTAAATAAAATAAGGACGAAAAATTACTCTTCAACTCGTACAGAAAACTACAACAAGGCAACAGCAGAATTATTTGCATTGGCATATCGAAATCGATTTTGCTTTAAGCCTAAGTGCGCTGTCAAACAATACGTAGAAATCATTTTTAAAAGAAAGAAACCTGGCCTGTATTAAGTGCTTTCTTGCCTTTAGGAAATTAAAAAACTGCCACCTTTTGCAAACGATGGAAGCTGCGGAGTCGGAATACGATAAATTGGATGTTGGTTTTCTGAATGGCAATCAAAACGGAGACTTAAATTCATGCTCTCAAAGGAAGATAGAAGATGACAGAGTAGAAGAGGTGTATGACGAAATTGAATACGAGGAAAACCGTATCAAGCCAAATTTTGAAGCAACCGGAAAGAACCAGAGTCTGATAAATGCTGTTGTTACGGCTTTCAAAATGAGGTCCCTTAAGTTAAAGGAAGCTGGTGAGACCCGAAAACACAAGGCAACGCCAAACTTGTATCAAGCTGACTACAATAGCCCCATAACAGATTCAAGTTGGTCTAATATCACGAAAAGTAAAAAAGGTGAAGAAGAAAGTCTGCACAGCGACTGTGGAAAGACGAACGTTACTGGCCATAAAATCAGTGGCATTTTGGGGCATGTGGCTGCTTCTGTAAAAAATGCCTGGTCCAATGTGTCTAAGGAGGCGAAAGTGGAAAAACCAGAGGCGAATGTCAGTGAGGAAGACTATTACGAAGAAATTTGTGATGCTGATCTACCGACGGCACTAAAACTACGAGCCCCTCCTACGGAGACTTTGGTGAAGTCTGGAAGAAACGAATATTCACATTTCGGTAAGCCCACATCAAGGGATGCAGATCACGAAACCAAACTTTCTAAACACCTGGCTAGGAAAGCAAAACCTGCACATTATCTACGTTCAAAAGAAGGAAAAGAGCGAAAATCTGGGCTTCGTAGGCACGTAGCTGACCCAACTAAAAAGAAGACGGCGAAAGATATTATTCAGGTAACAAAGAACAATTTTCGCAAAAAGGACGTTGATGAACCGGAAATAAAGCTCGGTCTTGATGTGTGCTCACACAGTTCAAGAGAAACTGATCCAGTAAAGGCTGACTTGCCAAATGCTCTAAAAATGGCAGATGAAAACGACCAGATAGAAGGGGAATTGTATGAAGAAGTCAACGATGCTGCACATAGCGTCAACGAACAATCAAATCAGGCTAATCCAATTCGTAGCATTGACAGTGTCACGCAAAAAAGAGAAATCGGATCAAGGCCATCAAAACAAAATGCGATTTCAAACTTGGGCGAGAAGTTAAGTGGGCTGATTCGATCTTCAAGGTCATTCAGAAGATCGAAGGACTGCGTTTTGCAAGATAGCGACGAAGTTCATAATGAGGATTTATACGAGGAGGTAGACAACGGCAACTTAGACACGTCTAGTCACCAACTGAGCAGTACAAAATTTAAACCTAACAAATTCGTTAGTTTCAATCCAGAAACGCAAAAACCTAAAGTTCATAAAGTTACCAAAATCAGAGGAACAAAAACTCGAGCTTTCAATTTCAAGAAATTGTATGGCAATAAATTCCGGCACAAAGATTCCAAGGATGAAAGGAAGGTGTGGAAAGGTATAAGTAGGGAGGCAGCGACTGCCGGGGCTACACTTCACAATTCTGAAAACAAGGCAAAGAAAAGTGTAGATGTTTTTCTCAACAAGGAATTAAACACAAAAGTCAGTGGTGCAGCTGATCAAGAATGCGAAGCCTATGACGAAATTGTATTTGCTGAGCCAAACAGAATGTCTGCTCTGGAAGATTTCTACGACGAAGTCGATATCCATCCACTGCCATCTACTCAGGTGCTCTGTGAAGAAGTTATGGAAAAAAGGCCCAAGGCACTAGATGCTTCCGCTCAGGATAATAAAGAAAAGGCACAAGATAAAGAAAACTGCCGACATATGGACGCAGAAAACAGAGATCATTGGAATTTTCAAAAGACCGAACAGAAGACGGACAAATCTGTGAAGGTCACCAACAGCTCAACCACCAAAGAAATTTTAAAGAACAAAACCAATGAAAGCCCTGACGCAAAGAGTCAAGATGTGGCTGAAACCAGGTCGAATACTCAAGAGTCATTTAGTGAAAAATTTTTGAATGAAATGGCACATCCTAGGTCTAGTTATATACCTGAAGACTTGTACGAAAACGAGAATGACAAGATTGCCCACGTTCAGCAAAGTGCGGCGACAAGCGAGGTGCCACCACCTGTTCCACCGAAAAAAAATTCGAATACCGGCTGCGCTCCAACAAATGCCGTAAAGAAGAGCGGTGCATACACTGAACAACCGTTGGAATCAACAAAGCCAACTCCACTTGCCGAAAATAGGAGACAGTTTCCTTCTCACTCACGTCAGTCCTTCGACGTCCCAGTAAAGGCTCGTATCAGCTGCGTGGACGTTCCACCAGCACTTACGGACTCCCAAGATAAGAGAAAAATCTCGGAACCCAATAAAGTGCTGTCAGAGTTGCTTGGACAAACTCCCAAGCCAAGGGAACAACGAACTAATGAACTTCCAGTTCGACGATCAAAATCAAACGCCAACCGATTCTTGGGACTTTTCCGCTCTCAGGCTCGAAATAATGAAGACTTTAGAAAGTCCGCGTTTCCCCAATCTGTGACCACTTTTTCGCCAAGAACTAGCAATTCTAGCTCTAAAGATCCGACGTCAGCATTTACGTCTAAAAAGGTTCCACTTCAACTTTCTAGTGTTTGTGGGAAAAATCAGACACCGTCTTCAAAAGGCGCCATAGAGGTCGAAGACTATGAGGTCTTGTCCGACTACTCGTCACATTGGACTGAAGAAGAGCGCAATGGAGGTCATTATGGCAGAAACTCCACCACGCAGGTTCGGAACATCAAACGAGACTTGGATTTACCTTGTCAAAAAACTCTGTCACAGGATGACAAAAAGCCTACTGTTGAATACGATGTGACCTCCAGTAGCAAGATTGTGCAAAATCAGCAACCGGGACCTAATGAGACGCTAAGGGATAATTTAACTGGCCATTTGCAAAGAGCTGGCTCTTTGAACCCCAACGACGCAGTTTTAGGACCTTGTTTTAAAACGGAATTGAGGAAAGAAGTAACCGAGATGGCCAGCCGAATGCTTCCTGACTTGCCAACACCTGCACCTCGCAATATCAAGTCACCGATTTTGCAAACCTCGTCAAGTTTAACAACTGAACCAGACAATACCAAAATCGCACCTGCGATGTCACCTAACTGCCAACGTGCTCTTCCGCGCAAATCAGCAAATGCAAAAAAGGCAATAAAGCGACGTCCACGACCGCAATCTCTACCCGAAGCTGTTGTGAGCTCTCACTATGCATCGTCGGACAATGAAAGCACAGAAGATGAATCGGGCGACGTACCACACAATGTCATTGACGAGGCATTGACCAAAGGTAATGCCTCTTCGAGCACAGCAGTTCAGTCGGCTGTTCGAAATAATGCGGAGCTCATCCAATCCATCCCATGCAATGGCCAAGTCGGTAATCGAAATCAAAATAATTCAGGGCAGAACGCAGTGGCATTGCAAAATGCTTACCCCCCGTGTGGTAGAAACGAAACAAACGAAGTCAAACTCCAGTCAGCACATGATGCGTCACCACCAGCAGTCATGGCTCGAGACAAGACAAAAGTGGACAACGTCCCTCCCCACTTCGGGTCGTCTGCCAGCGGTTTAGAAGATTCTAAATCCCCACAGACTTTGCCTAGTAATGAAGCCAAAGAGCCAGTTAACCTGAATTCTATTCTAAATACGATCGAGGCAGGGCTAGCCGAGATTTCTCCAAATTCGACAACAACTAGCTCTTGCGCCTTGTCGCCGACTGGCGAAACTAAAGTGCCTCCTAAAATACCACCCAGACCAGCTTTTGTGCCCAAAGTTATTCTCACTCAAGTTGCACACCAATCAATTCCGTTGCACAGGGCTGGTGCAACAACTTCTTCGCCCCAAGTAGTGCAGTCACCTTCAGTAGAAAAAGACGAGTTAGTTTCTGCAGACCGGGAGGACGTTGTAGCAAAGGAGACCGATCATGTAGAAGACGTTTCACCCCCACGCAAACACGAATCGTCTTCAGAATGCGCACAGAGATCGACTAGAGAATTTTTATTACAGTCCGAAAATAACATCACCAAAAATGCCACCTCTTCGGGAGCTTATGATTGCGAAAATGACTATTACATGAGACTAGAAGATTGTTATTGATGAAAAATCGTCGGATCCCTTAACATAACACTACAAATACCCAAATTATTTTGATAATTTTATATCAAATGTCGTGATTATAATGTTATTCAAGGCACTGGTTTTGTTCTAAATAGTTGCAAGTAAATTGTTTGCGCAAATCCGTACGACATTCCAGCTCTGTAAGTTATTGGTTAATATAATCTAGTGACTAACAAATGGACACAGTGAATGACAATCTGCTTTCTCGTTTTTATTTCCTCTGGTGAAATGTTTGCATATTTATCCCGTAATCGTTTGCGAATAATTCAAAAAATACGACTTTGTACAATATTAGTGAACGCGATTGTTAGTTCAACATGTAAAATGAACTTTTAATTACCACAGAAACAGTTTAAAGATGTTGTATTCTTGTGCTAATATAACGATGATGTAACGTTCAGGTACGAATGTCTGATGGCAGGAAAGGTTGGGTGAGGAAGGCTTTTTTACTTACAACAGTCTATCAATTCATATTTATAACGCGAAGCATTCTCGGATATGCATACGACTGTAAAATACTCTAGAATGTTGAAAGTACATAGGAAAAGTGTCATCTAATCAACACTTTTTTTCAAATTAATGCAATCCGAGTCTGAGGAATTTGTGAAATTGGCATCAATTGCACAAATACCATCCATGGAATTCACTTAACTGGATTCTACCCATTCGAATTAAGTAGGCCACGTTATTTAATCATTCCATGACATCTTTTGCGTTTGTTTTTTAACAGAACTGGAATAATTATTTTGGCTGCCCATTTTCTGTCAGTCCTATGTGCTGTTCAATTTTGTACCCTTAGCTTTATGCACTTTTAAATCGAAGAGAACATGTGAAAATCAATGTTACATCGAGTGGCTAAAGCTGAGTGAAATATTTACTTTAACTTCCATGGCTGTTTTCAAAAAAACTGGTTCGACCCAATGCCTGCTGCGTGTCTGCATCATCAGCTATTATCTTTAGTATGGTGAATACTCACCAGTTATCGACAGATTACTTGTTCTAATTGCTGCATTAAACCTATGCGTCACACAGTAATCGTTGGACCTAGAGTCCGCGCTAAAAAAGAAGCATTTTGACAATGTGGAATACGAGGACCTTGATTTTATTAGAAATTTACATAATGTGAGTGGACGATTAACATGCACAAATACTGAAGCGAATGCATGAAGTACCGCAGACCTCAAGTATCTAACTCGTTGAACGAGGAAGAAAGGGCCTTTGGTGACACATGGCACCCAACCAGATGCATTTACACACCGGACGGCGACAGTCGGATGGTTCTGAACTGTGGTGCTTCTTAAGAGCTTATCATTCAATTTTCCTCTTCTCAATGTTAGAATTTGGATATCCTACGATTCATGAACGGGGACTTATTCGTCATAGTGTCCAGGGCAATTGTCTAAAAGTTGGTCTTAGTGAATCAGTGGAACAAAAGAGTAAGTCATAAACTAGCCATTTTAAGCGACATTGGCGGTAATCCACAGGTAACAGCAGTGAAGTCCTGTTACCCTTCGTGGTTGTCATTGCAAGGTTTTGGACAAAATGCACCACCCACCTCTACTATGCGTGATTTTTGAATAATAGAGTGGTAAAGAGATTAGTTACACGCACCAGGTTGCAGGTAATCGAAGCAGCATGTAGTTGATTTGATCTCACCTGATGAAAGCACCTTTGCATTAAACTCGATGCATAAATGCATCAAAGTAACCACATCGCCAAAATACGGGAGGAACTGCATTCTTGCGAATACGGACATCATGAAAATGGCAAAAATCGGTGGTCAGCTGATCGAGAGGATTAATATCGGAATGAATGGAACTTATCAAGACATGTTTACGAAAAGGACAAATGTTTACCTGGCTTTTAGATTCCATTCAGAAGCCCAAGGAGCTAAAATAGGCTCGAGGTCACTTGCCTGATTAAAACACATAGGTGTTTTGCATACACACATTGCAATCTTTTAACTAAAGTTATCAATTCACAAGTGGGATCATCTGCTAATAGATTTTGAGTTATATCTAGTACTTCTCAATTTGATGCACATGAATACCTATTGACTTGTGAGCCTTGCCTTTTACACTAACATTTTGCTTGTAAAACCTTTAACAGCCAGGACTTTCTCCTACGCCACATCGTTCATAACCGAAAATTATACATTAACAGTCACGATCGTTTTCACTAAATGTGTGGAGCGGTTTGACGTTGTTCAACACTGCCACAATCTAACGCTGGAAAACGCCAACTTCTCTGAAACCTCGTATTTTGGATATTTGCGGATGTCAGTGACAAGGAACTAAGAGAGTCTGATTACTTTCACTGTTCTACACACGTAGTGTTCTCACGGGCCTTTAAAATTCTTCCTACAATCCTGCTGACTTGACGTAGTGAATGAGATTAGCTGCTATTTACTTTTTCCGTTTCATTTCATTGTTTCATGAATCAGTAATGTCTCACTATTTGGCTCTGTTTGCGAAGCATGTTGAAAGTAAATCATGTTCTTCAGTCCTTGCTCATTGATTGACTGCCTCTGGCATTTTGAATGTAGATTTCCCATCCGAAGTAATAGTCAAGCAATGACCTCTAACTGTGCCCAAAGTTGTTCATAATAACATCCAAATATAAGCTAGGTCATAAATGAAAGCATCAACCTCACATCAGGCAAACCAATGGGAGTGTTTAAATTAGAACCATACTCGCTACTAGTATAACATCAAAGAATACTAGCACAGAATAGTCTTCAGTATAACATATTAGGGTGTGTTTTTGACAGGTGCTTTTAGGCGCAATTGTGCGCATTTAAATAACAGCCTCAAGTGACTCTTGATGTGAGTGTTCTGTCGTCATGCCACATGAAGTTGGAAGACTGAATCTGATTAACAAATGAAAGTGATCAGGATTCAGTTTTGGATTTGTATATCTTGAACACAAGCTGCCGCCTTAGATCTCCATTAATAACGTTAATCTTGTTGACTAAGTGCTAATTTCTTCTCACTTAATCTGGCAATTGGGATCAAGGAGTACCATTAATGCTTCAGAGAGAGGAATCAAGTTAGTTTTCAAAGAGAAAAGGGCGTTCTGATAATGAAAGACTAAACGCTTTCCTTTTCTAATAAAGTCAAAATAATTTATTATATATGATTTAGCTGGTGCTATTCACACTTTTCTTGGAGTCTCCCTGTAATAAACTCTTAGCACGGATCATGGTCATCACTTCTTACTCATTGGTTGGCTGGCTCTGACAGTTTAGATCCAGATTGACTTTGCGAAGATATTTACACCTAACAGTACAATTATCCAACGAGCCCAAGGTAAAAGATGCGATGCGTTCATGGGACAGAAGCCTGGGTAACAAGATGCCAATCCTAGGATGACTGTTAACCGTTAAAAGGTATCTATGTTAATTCACAAATATGAACAAGCTCTGAATTGAAAGCGTCAACTTAAAAAAAGGCAAACTAAAAGAGTGCTTAAGTTAAAATTAGCTTCGCCATGACGCAAATTTAATGCATACAAACAGTGAATTCTCTTTGAAGAGGTCAATCCAGTAAATGTACGACTGCCTGCGTGTGTTTGGTTGTGAGACACCTTAACTCAAACCCAAGCACTCTCTAAAATTCACCACCATGTATCCACCTACAAGAGCCACACGTATTCATAGTTACATTGTCATGCCAAATGAAATAGGACGAGATTGAAGGGCATAGCACAAGAAAGTTATCAGGATGCACACAACGCATTCAATATTTCAGAAGAAGCTGTATTTCACAAAATGCGTAAGGCGTAATGAATGAACGAAAGAATCTATTTATTACAAGCCCATGTTTAGAGGTGATTTGAGTAAAATAAAGGTTTAACAATGATGCTCTAAGATCTAGGATTCATAAAGGGAAATTTCCTGAATATTTGGATGCCAAAGAACCAAGCCATTTTCATATTTCCTTAGTTAAAGTTTCTTCATTTCATTGCACAAACCTATTGTAATGCCTGTTGCAATTGCATAATTATGAGACGTGTAGCCTGTACACACATGAGCACATTTTATTAAGAGTTGGAAGGCTGTACGATCATTTGTCATCTTTGCAAAATAATTTTCGTGTGTCACTTTTCCATTCCTCATAAATGGTGAACTTGCTTATCAATTGTGTGTGACGTTTTGAAAAAAAATGCGGTAGAGTAGAGGTACTTTACTGGTCGCCACCTTCTCCCATGTCATAACAATGGGTTTTGTCTGTTGTGGGCCCAAACATGCGGTCTTGAACCACGTCGGGGCCACAGAGTTAACCCTGGCCGGATTACGCTTGCCTGATACCCGCGATGAAGAAAAGACCGGAGAGGACGGTACACAATCGTTCACTCCAGAGTTCAATCTCGGTGTCGTTGTGTCATGTGCGGTGATGGTGCGTGTGTATTTATAGCTCGGATGAGTGGGTCATACATGCGCTAACATTGAGACCTACGTGTGGGGACACTCCAAGATAAATATTCGGGCTAATGAGGGGGAAGTTGAGGATTCTCGCGGCTGGCGACATGCTGCGACAAGTTAAACCCTGTGTAGGAGGTGGCGCGACCGGATAAGGAGGGTGAATAAACAGGATTCACGACATGTCTTTTATCTATTGTGTGGATCAAGATGCCGTTGCCAGTTAACTGCAGAATTTGCCAGTACAGCTCATTCAGCGTAGAGATCGTATCGTTACATTGCGTTAAAAACAAAATAAGGCAACAATGCTCTAGTGGGTGGCTGGCTATAGCACTGCCTCTCGACCAGTGAATAAGACCAGTAACTTTCACTATTCGGTCAATTTGTCATAGGCTTTCTTAGGTCGATTACTCTCTCTTAGATGAAACTGTTGTTAGCCAAGGATCATTAGCAGATCCACATCAATTTACAGTCATTTTTAATGCAAAAAAATTGCAGAAACTGCTTCATGGTGCGATTTACTATTAATTCATTAGTGAGGTAAATAAAAATTTGGGATTTGGTATAGTGCTAGTCAATAATACAGCAAAGACTTACTGACCAATCAAAGCCTGCAATAATCAAACGTCAATTACAGGCTAATGGTTTAAGGTTATTGAGCCTAAAACCCCGCCTCTCAAATGCACTTTGTTTATTTTCACACAGATTCTGCAATAAGTAGTTGGTTGAATGCTTCTAGAGGTATTAGACAAATGTTGGTATTTGGGGAGGATTGTCACCGCCGTCTAGGCCTCTAGAGTCTTTATTAATATGAAAAGATTTTAAGGGAGGCATAATGTCTAAATGATTAATCAGTGGTACTTCAGCTACTTACACTCGACTCATTTACATTAGGAAATGCAGAACATGAGGACTACTGTACCTTATTTTGGCGAGCCCTTTTAGTGGCTTGGCACTACCCTACAACCCTCTAGTTAACAGATCGTAACAACAAGAAAAGAGAGACGAAAGCAAACACCACTGTTTGAAGGCGTCACCCCAGGTAAGTGTCCGTGTGTGCGTATCAGGCGACTGCTGGCATGTGCCAATTAAAAAAGGGTGAGTCATTGGCAGAGTCGGGCAGGCCACACGCAGCACTCACGCGCGCGGTGGCTGTGAGTCCACAACGGTGCATTCACGGAAAAAAATCGACTGATTTGTGTTCGCTCGCGCGTGCCAACTGTGCTGGCTTGCTGCTCGCCACGGTTCTCACCCTTGATAAAAGGAATTGGCGCATATTTTTTCCCAACACGAATTCTGAAACACATGGATTAAATACCATTGCATTGAATAGTTGTGCCAAATTTCAGGAGGCATGCGGCTGATCGTCAAACTTGGTGGAATTGTCGCCGTTATTTGCACTGCATGGCATTTCCTCACTCGGAACGGATATGTGGAGTGGATTGAAGCTCAACATGGGGATCACGAGCCACTGAACTATAGGGAGTACCCCACAGACCAATAACCAGCGAATTTAGATAAAGAAAGCAATCAACTTGGAGATTACAATACATTGCATAGGCAAGCGCTTAGCATAGCCCTGCATCTAAGCAGCACGCTAAATGGAAGTGCCTCAAACTGGTCACTCGAAGTGGCGAGTCGTCTGATTTGGATAGATGAATTAGGTGGACACGCTGAACACAGGAGACGTGAGCTTGTGCGTCTGGGTGAACTGTTTCAGAAACAGCTATTCCGACTGCAACATCCCATTAACTGTTCTGCTGCCAGATTTGTCGAGACAAGACTGCCGATGTGTGGTTTCGGCTGTCAAATCCACCATATTGCGCTTGCAATGCAACTGGCAGTAGCAACTAACAGAACACTGTCTGTGCATGGCTTCGATCACACCTTCCATGGACTGTTTCTCCCTTTGACAAATTGCATTGAAATTGGAAAGCATCAATCAGTAATTAAACAGGAACTTGTCAACCGTGTCTCAACAGCTTAATTGTCTTCTCCTGCACTACCAGCTGAATGGGCAACTATGCTTGAACCTTGATACGAATCGCCATATTTGTGGTTGCAATCATGAATTAAATTTATTTGAAAGAAGGGACCTGACCACAGCAAACCATTGGGACTATTTCCAGTCTTGATAGTAGGGACTATGGCCAATTGTACGTCGGCATCCACATCCGTTGTACTGACAAACTCCTTATGGAAGCCAGTTCGTTCCCCAGTCAGTTCCTACATGGCACTCGTGGTCCGGTTTTATCGACTAATAAAAGGTGCGACGAATTGAAGGGGCCGCGAAATGACGCGCCTTGCAGAACATCTGATGAGTCTCGAGTGAATCTGGAAGCCATGCGGCAAAATTCCGAGCAAACGTTTCATGAATGGGGGACAGCCTTCTCGAGCAATACAAAGCGAAGTTGTGACTCACAAAAGAAGGTATTAAATCAATTTACATTTAATGTGATGTTGGCCAACGCCGATTCCTGCCTTTACAAGCTTTCCTTTAAAATTCGCCTTGAACCAGTCACTAAACAACCACTGCACTGACCGCATAGAACAAATGACTTTGTGAACAAGGATTCTATGTTGTTGTGAATCTTATTTATTCAACCCCTTAATACGGTCGCTCCACCTCCTACGCAGGGTTTAAATTGTCGCAGCATGTCGCAAGCTGCGAATCTCCTAAACTCCCCCTTCATTAGCACGAATATTTATCTTGGAGTATCCCCTCACCTAGGTCTCGATGTTGGCGCATGTGTGACTCACACATCTGAGGTATAAATTCACACGCGCAAATCACACACACGACACCAACGAGGTTGACCTTCGAAGTAAACGGTTGTGTCTACGTCCTCTCCGGTCTTTTTCTTCATCGCGGGTATCAGGCAAGCGTAATCGGGCCAGGGTTAAATCTGTGGCCCCGGCGTGGTTCAAGACCACATGCTGGGGCCCAAAACAATGTCATTGGCTCTCGAGAAAAAGTCAAAGTGCCCCTTTTTTAGAAAGTGGCATTGCTCAATGAAACCATACGTCAAATAATGTGTGTGAAAATGTGACAACTTAAATAGTTTTGAAATTTAATTTGCAACTCATAATCAAGAATAAACACTATTGGCACATGCAACAGCTTAATTGGTTTTGGATTCACTTTGACTGTTCTTTTTACACCTCCCACATGCTCTTTCAAGCACGAACCCTGGTTGGTGATGAAGTGCTGCTTCTTCGACAACAGACTACTTAACAATGCAAGTCTTTGTGCGTAACACTAGCGACACATTCAGAATGGGATCACTGTTAGGCAGCATTCGAAAATCCTGCAGAATTGTATGCATCTTTCTGGCTATCGGCATTGTGTTTTACATCCTCCGATCTCGCCAGCATCGATTTGTTAGCATTGACTTCGCGGAAAAACAGGTTGATATGGGCGAATTAAGGGAAAGAGTAATTCAAATCGTCAAGGCGTCGCGGCTTGCTGGCAGCACGTTCGATGTCGACGTCGTACACCGCCAGCCCAACTCAACTTTCTTGCTGGTGCAATTGGACCGGTCGCAGTTCATCAAGGCGCCCAGAAATTGGTGTTACGAAAACGCAGGACGAAAAGACGCCAGAATCAGACCAAACATTCAGGAGTGCTTTTCCGAAGTTGCACTGTCTGATTATCAGCAGGTGAAATGGACGCTTAGGTTAATTCGCGACGCATTTGAGATGGCAAATGTAACCGTTGTGATTACGTTTGGATCACTCCTCGGCTCACTGCGATATCAGAAACGAATGCCCTACGACACCGACTTTGATCTGCTCGTTCATCAGAAAGATCGCGACAAGGCACTGCAAATCTTCCTCAAACTGGCAGCTGACCCACTCCATCGTATGCGTTTGCTCGATTTAAAGCCACTGAATATAAGTGCAAAAATAGGACTGGCATGTGAACCTGACACAAAGTGGATGAATCCTGATAGGTGGACGAATTTCGGAGGAAGTGTGCAATTTCGCCGTGGTGTGCCGACAGGTCTCAAAATCACGGCGTACCATGAAATTTTGGGCACCTGTGCCATCCCCATGGACATGTTCTCGACTGCAGAAACCGACGCTGTCTTTGACAACATTGACGAGTACGAACCGCTGTACCGACCACTAGACGGAACGCTGTTTCGTGTTTTCCGAGGAGCTCGCGAATACCTCGAGAAAACTTACAACGCAAGTCTGGATGTTTGCATTCCCAAATTCCCGAGATTTCTTCCTGGCCGCTTCCATAATCTCCCTAGAATGTGCGAAGAAATGGTAGTACCGTGCAGCATGTTAGACTTGCTTTACCCCAGAGTGATCCAATTCACGGACACTAAATATGACTCCGGCACCTACGAGGTTGGCATGGAGTTTGATCATAACAGGCAATGCTGGATTCACTCAATATTTCACTACCGCTCATAGTCTGCACTTCTTGTTCTGATGCCTCATGCGGATTTTACTGAAGAATTTTCTATGTTACTGATTTTTTGCCTGTGCCTGTGGGACCGTGTAGTATGAATAAAGCAGAGATGGGCACTTGATTCTACCTTTCGCCGAAGTTTAAAAAAAATGCCCAAGCTTCTGACTGTATTTTGTGGCCAAATAAAGGGCACTAAAATGTAAGCTACACGTTTATCATCTGTCTATGTTAAATCAAGGAAATGTTAAAGTGAAATGTATAATAGAAAAAGGATTGGCCTGAAGTGAAAAAAATCGGTGTCCGTTTGGGTTGCGAAGCAGAATGCAAGTACAAGTGGGATATTCGTAGACACACTGAATTTCTTGGTGATTGTAGTGGTGAAATATTTGTTAGAATGCTCATTTAACACGATTTTGTCTCTTCATATTTTTATAGTCATTATTCTACATCTTGATCCGGTATTACTGATGTGCAGTCCGATAATGCATGTGCTAACGTATTTGATGAAATCAGTGGATCACTCTGACTTACAAAGTACATGTCTTTAAAAATCCAATTAAAACTGATTAGTAAATATGAGCTTAGCCTTCCAATAACCGCATTTTATTACGGAGAGGCCAAGCATCGTGGGAAAAACATTGATCGGAATTTAGCACAAATTTTATTGACATTAGACTGACGCCAGGAGCAGTAGCAGCCTGCTATCATCGATTTGTGACGCAGGATGTGTGGTTATCCAAGCTCACATCACGGGTCCTCTTCACGTTTGATCGTGTCGACTTGTAGTGTCGCCTACCGCGTACTTGATCTATTTCATTCTTACACTAACTAATCGAGGAACAGGGAAACCGACAAGAAATACAGGTTCTACTAAAGGCCACTGGAGCTAACCCCTTTTTCTTCTTAACTGACGCGACTATTTAAAGTTGATTCAATAACGGTCTCCGACAGGCGTTTCCTTGTTCTTTCCGCCAATTCTCAGCAACTAACACCTCACCCTTCTGACCAAACTGTTAGAAACCCCTGACTGCAATTTGTTGGTTTTTTTATCCCTTGGTCTACGCGTGGACATCCGAAACCGAACCCCTAACATAAGCTGCCGACAGATATCCTTTACGACAAAAGCCAGCATTTACTCCCCTTCGAAAATACTCGTACATTATCAAGCCGACGCATAGCCATATCGAAATCCTACACATGGTGAAGACGGAAATTTCGGCAATAAATCACCCTGTCAATGCCTAGGTACGATAACGCTCTCCCAAATTATACGCAACATCAAAGCTAACATTTCAGTATATTCTGTAGCTTGGGACAGTTAGCCGATGGCTGGTCAATTCTTCACAAATTATTCAAGCTGTTGGTGAGTGGCGTCCGCCTGGTGATTATCGCACTTAAAACGCAATAACTCTGACTCCTCACTATCTTATAAACGCCATATGACTTTTCAAATAACCCAGAGAGCAGCACCGTGTTTCACAGCTTACATTTAGTCCTACCATTGCACTGGATTCCTGTCGACATGCCTATATTCTAAAGACAAATATTGTAACGCCATTCGACTGATTCGAATTTGTTGGAATGCCCTCCAACTAACAGAATGCAGCTTAAGCTTCCAAGAACTTATAACATTACGCGTTGTCCTATATTTTTGTATTATTATGTACCGACGACGTTCTCATGGCTGGTAAGGACTAGTAAAATAATCGGGAACACATTGGTGCAGTCTTCCACAGCTTAAATGAATACAACATAAAAATTAGCAACAGTATCGGAGAATACGACAGGCCTAAGTGGATATTCTATCATCAGCTTAAATTACAGTATTTTACGTTCTAAACAACACCTGTGGAGAAAAGTGACAGTGTTACACATAAAGAAACACGGTCGCACTATATGTCAATGCTTTATACAATATCACGGACGAGATGAGAATTCGTTAAAAGGCAAAGTTGGACCACAAACACGCAGGCGGACCCGCGTGTTCAGGTTAACACACTTATCAGTGCCTTTTAACTGCATTAAAATCCTCAGAATCAAATTATACCAGAATTACAACAGCCGAAAACCTTTCTAACACTAACTCATATCAATATCATTTAAAGTTGCGAAATGGAATAAGCTAATATTGTAAGCTTAATCATGATCTCTAACGTAACATAAAAGCACACACCATCTTAAAGTGCAACAGATTACAAAAGAACTCACAAAGAAGAATGTATTGGTTACAATGCATTAACGCACAGTATTGGGTACAGACAAAAATCAGGAATCATAAACAAAAGGATGAGGCACCACATCTAGTGAAAAAATGAGGGAATCTCTTCATTTCCAAGGAAGGACAGTTGGTCATCAAGTGGCAATCTTACGAACCTTCAAAAATTTCCTAATTAGAAGTGGTTTAGTGGAAATCCCAATGATAGTGATACTTAAACATATAACACAGCAATAGCCATTCTCCCACCAATACAAAGGTAGGCAGCAATCACAGCATCACC